CAGCCGCGCAGAGCCACGCCCACTCGCTCGGCGCACGCCGGTCGGGGAAACCGCTGGGAAACGGAACGTGCGTGTAAACATAAAAACCTACAGCAAGAGATACACGGGCCTAAACGGGTTAAAATAGGTCAATAGAAAACCATACCTAAATAGATAAACGTATCTGAATGGACACCTCTGTCTGTCACGGGGGTCTCAACCTTCCCGTCACCACAGACCCCTTTAAAGATCTTTCGTGGCCGCGGGCCGCCAAGACTTAATTCAAGATTTAAAGCATCAAACTGCATCAAATATTTATTTGTTTTCATGAAGGGTCTTCAAATATGGTGAGAAGGGTAAGTATGTTAATCTGCTGATGCACACACATCAGAATATCTTTACTGCAATGATTCCATATGAATTTCCAATAGTATCAACACTCTCGTTGCTCAAACGACCCATTTTATAGTATTTCAACATTCTAATTACAACTCGGATGCCAATTTTTACATTAAAATCTGATGAAAAGTTTTTGCAGTTCTCACCTTCCCCCTTGTTTGTCTGCGTTCAGCCACCATATATTTGGGTCCAGGGCCACCACTTGGAGCAACAGTCTTCAGCCTCACTGTGGCCCTAAAGAGGTCTACTAGGCTAAGAAAATGCCTTTAAGACAAAAGCCTCCTAATTAAAGTGAGTCCCACCAATCATACTAGCACTGAATTTACTAGTGCGTCAGGGCAGGTGAGGGCAGGGGGGGCTTGAGTATGAGAGGAGCATTGAGGGGAGGGGGCTGTGGGAAGAGGAGGCACAGTGCTTGCCGCAGGCCAGACCAAGTGTTTCTGAGGTGAATGTTCCTCATCCCTGCTTTAAGCCTTTGCAGACCCCCGTGACAGCATTGTGGCCCCCCAGGGGGGGAGAACCACTGATCTATTATATATGTGTGTGTGTATACACAGATACAGCCCAGGACACCCCTGGGAGGCACCGGGTCCCTCTGTGGCCACTGCATTAGCCAGCAGGGTGGCTGCGAGCCTGTTGTCACAGGCATTTGGTGTCTGGGGATAAGGGGGCAAGCACAGGTGGCTGTAACGGGCTCGCTAGGCGGTCAGCTGTCGGCCTGTGACTTGGGGCTCAACCTCGGGCTCTCCCTGAGGAGAAAATACCCATCACCTCCTTCTAACCCACCTCTGTTTTTCCAAGGAATTGTGTATTTTGTACATCTAAAGTGGTTTTGAATAAAAGCTTGGTTGAGACTCACCCCTAAAAGTTCTAGAAGTCGGGAGAAAATAAAAAATGAAGACTCCAGTTTGTGACAGCCTGTTTTAAAACAATTCTACACTTCATCGCATTGTCTGAGCTGTAAGTTGATCTGAGCTAAACAGTCTAAGAGACAGGAGCGCACCTACTGCAAAACGCTGTCCTCTGTGACACGACACGTGGGCACCATGGGGAGACACAAGCCCACGGCTCCCACCCCAACACGGCTCTTGCCATGGTCTTTGCCTCCGTGGAACACCTGCATTTGTATCTTTACACTTAATTGTCTTTTTTCTTCTAGATCTCTTCCCTTGACAGTTGCCTCTGTTTAATTGCCAGGCCAATTAACATGCTTCTGTTCAATACCAGCTGGGTCCTGTAGGGGCGGCAGCTGCTGGCTGTACCCCATTTCCCCAGCAGCAATGTAGGTGTTGTTTTCCTTTGAAACATTTTTCGTTAGGAAGAAATCCTGTGAAAGTTCTCCTTCAAAAACCAATAAACCCAAGAAACACGCGGGAGATACCCTGAGGCCCCGCAGGACAGCACGATCCGCGAAGCTGTCTGAAGCCAGGCAGATACTTTCATAGTTAGAACAAAAGACGTCCTTAACATTTATGAAATGCTTTGCTGTTTTCATCAAACGCTGCTGTTCTGTGGTTTGTCCTACCCAAGCTACAGTCTCCATGAGGCTCTGAAGTGTTTTACTGCCATGGTTAACAACCCCTTGAAGTTCATCAAATCCAGCAAAGCGACCTGCAGAGATCAGCGTGTTGACTCGACTTATGAATCCAGGGCACAGGTTTCTCCAAGCAGCTGCTCTGCCTGGTTTGCACATCCACTTGGATCACACTCCAGGCCGTTAAATATTTGTACAGTATTAGTTTTTACACACAGCGTTGTAATGTTTTTTTTTTTTTTTTTTCACTGCAGCATTTAAAATAAAACACAGCACTGCAGTCATTCGTGTAGGCTTTTGACATTCATTACTCCGAGCATCCCCGTGGCCTCCCCCAGTTCTTCCCCCTGCTGCCATCAGGCCACCTTCAAATGCTTTTTTTTTTAAATCACCAGATTCTGAAGGAAAAGCTTCCCAGGCATCTAGAGAAAGGAGCTGTGAAAACATAACCAGGCTGCAGCTTCTTTCTTTTCACACAAAAGCAGCTCCCCTCATTCCAGAAACACCCCCCTGGAGTTGGGTCAGACACCCCCATTTAAGGGCCCCCCCAACAGCACAACCCCAACAGCTGATGGGCTGCTCAGTTTTTCATTGCTGCAGAAATTCAGACACCTGAAGAGGCCAGAGCTCAGCGATGGCACGACACCATTCAGGGTGGGCCTCAGCTCGATGGCATTCAAAAGCTTTCTCCAATGCAGCATAGACCCTTGTGACCCAAACCTGTTCCTTACAGGCCACGAAGCACTAAAAACATCTCCCACTGCTCCCTTAATCAATAATTAAGAATCGGTGTTACTCAAGCCAAATCCTGCTGCCCCACCCTTCCAACCTGGGTAGTGTACAATCACTTCATGTCCCACTGAAGCCACTACTCCCGCCTCCCACACCACCCCCTTCCAAAGGCAAGTCACTTTTAACACTCCTGTAAAGGGTTAGCTTTATTTTTTTACTCGGATTTCCCAATCCCCAGTGCAGGGTGGTTCACTGCTCACAAGCTCGTATACTCAGCAACCTCTTCACCACTGAGCACTTGAGCAGTTATTTCCCTTCTGTGGGATTATGTAGGTTTATAGCATACAGGAACTGCTCCGCATTGTTTTAGCTCGTTAACACTGTACTATTTCCACTTAGGGCACAGCTGGAATGAAGGCACATTCCAAAGGATTTTACATAAGCTTGTAAACCCTAAATTACAAAGGGCAACTAACACATTGTAAAAAAGCAGGTCTGTCATCCTTTAAGCGGATGAGGAGTCCCACACTAACCAAGACGCTTCCCAAGCCCCCGGTCCAAAGGCTGCAGGACCAGCATGGACATGCGACCACTCACCTGCAGAGCAGGGTGCTGGCCTGCCACAGAGCCACAGCACCACCCTCCCACTGGTACTCTGTTCTTGTAGGAACAAGGGCAGGACCTGGCCCTCACCCAGCCAGGCAGCATTATCCAAGCCACTCAGCTCACAAACAACTGCAGCATCACGTTACCCACGCATGCTTACACAACTTAACAGCTGCGTAACATCTGTAGACTGGCATTGAAGTTCAGCCAGTTATGAGACCACTTACACAACCTGAGGAAAACCACAGACAAAGGATTAATTACACTTGCCAGGCACGTGTATGCCTTGCATAAGGCAGTTTTGCAATACCTTTGTATCTGGAACCTATCTAATTACAGTTTATTAAACAGATTTGGTTAACAGCATTAACAGTAGTTCACATAACTTGAGACATGAACTTTTGTGGATGCAACAGCTTTATTGGAAAGAACAAGTGCAGAGAAACATTTTCTTGGAAGCAAGCAACAACCAGCCAGTTCAGTTACCACCCCTCAGGCGCAGCACAAGATGCAGGGTGGATTCTTTCTGGATGTTGTAGTCAGACAGGGTACGTCCATCTTCCAGCTGTTTGCCAGCAAAGATCAGCCTCTGCTGATCAGGGGGGATGCCTTCCTTGTCCTGGATCTTGGCCTTCACATTCTCAATGGTGTCACTGGGCTCAACTTCCAGGGTGATGGTCTTGCCTGTCAGGGTCTTGACAAAGATCTGCATGCCACCCCTCAGGCGCAGCACAAGATGCAGGGTGGATTCCTTCTGGATGTTATAGTCGGAGAGGGTGCGGCCATCTTCCAGCTGTTTGCCAGCAAAGATCAGCCTCTGCTGATCAGGGGGGATGCCTTCCTTGTCCTGGATCTTGGCCTTCACGTTCTCAATGGTGTCACTGGGCTCAACTTCCAGGGTGATGGTCTTGCCTGTCAGGGTCTTGACAAAGATCTGCATGCCACCCCTCAGGCGCAGCACAAGATGCAGGGTGGATTC